CATCTGCATTTGGTCGTGTGTATGAGAGAAGAGGGCTAGGTCATCTGCGAAGTCCAAATCATCTAATTGATTCTGAGAAGTCCATTGTATTCCGTATTTCCCTTCGGATGTCGAATTCGTCATAATCCAGTCAATCACTAGAAGGAAGAGAAATGGGGAGAGTAGACAGCCTTGTCTGACTCCGGTCCTTACTGGAAATGCATCTGTCAGCTGTCCTCCATGCACCACTTTGCACTGTAATCCATCGTATGAGTTTTGGATAATGTTGACGATCTTCTGAGGAACTCCATAGTGTCGAAGAAGTTTCCACAATGTTCTCCTATCCACGCTGTCAAACGCCTTCTCATAGTCGATGAAGTTGACGTATAGTGATGAGTTCCACTCAACTGATTGTTCAACGATGATCCGTAGTGTCGCAATCTGGTCTGTGCACGACCGATCCTTACGGAATCCAGCCTGATGATCCCTAAGTTCGGCGTCTACTGCGTCTTTCATCCGATTCAGCAGCACTCTGTTGAAAACTTTTCCTGGTACTGATAACAAACTGATGCCTCTGTAGTTCTCACATTGGCTCAGATCTCCTTTCTTTGGTATCTTGATGAGATATCCTTCTTTCCAGTCCGTTGGCACTTGTTCCTCTTCCCAAATCTTTTTGAATAGAAGGTGAAGCATGTTTGCAGTTATTTCAATGTCTGACTTCATGCTTCTGCTGGTATATTGTCAGAACCTGCCGCCTTCTCATTCTTGATTTGTCTAATGGCCATCTTGACTTCTTCGATCGTTGGTGGAGTGACATCTATTGGAAGGTCAGTGTGGGCTGCTTCGATGTTCGGTGGATTCGATGGGGCTGGTCTATTCAGCAGTTCCTCAAAGTATTCTGCCCATCTTTTCCTCTGTTCCTGAATCTCAGTGATTGTCTTTCCTTCTTTGTCCTTGACTGGTCTCTCTGGTTTGCTATATCTCCCTGCCAATTTCTTCGTTGTATCATATAGTTGTTTCATATTCCCTTCTCTTGCAGCTTTTTCCGCCGCCGTTGCTAGTTCTCTCATGTATTTCTGCTTGTCGGCTTTAATGCTTTTCTTCACTTCTCTGTTTGCTTCTGCGTAGTGTGCTTGTGCTTTGACTTTCTCTGCTCGTGTTCGGCTGTTGTTAATTGCTAGTTTCTTGTTCTTCCTTTCTTGAAGTTTGTCCAGGGTCCCCATAGAGATACATTCCTTGTGATGGTGCTTCTTAGGACCAAGAACCTCCTGACACGTTGAAGTTAGTGCTTCTTTTATCCCTTTCCAGTTGTCCTCCAAAGTAGTTTCTTGTTCTTTCAGTAGATCCTGTAGAGCTTGGAACCTGTTGTTGAGAGTTATTTTGAATTCATGGAGTTTGTCAGTATCTCGAAGGAAGGCTGTATTGAACCTTTGTAGTGCTGTTTGTCCAGTTATCCAGTCATTCTTTAGCTTCAGTCTCATCTTGGCCACAACCAGGTGGTGATCTGAAGCTATGTCAGCTCCTCTCTGGGTTCTCACATCTTCCATTGATCTTCGGAATTTTTTGTTGATACAGATGTGATTAATCTGGTTCTCTGTGGTGTGGTCCGGTGAGATCCATGTAGCTGTGTGTATGCGTTTGTGTGGGAATATTGTGCCGCCTATAACCAATTTGTTGAAAGCACATAGGTTTGCAAGTCTCTCCCCATTTTCATTTCTCTCTCCTAGTCCATGTCGTCCAATTACATCTTCATATCCTGTGTTGTCCACTCCAACTTTAGCATTTAGATCTCCCATAAGGATGGTGAGGTCCTTTCGTGAGCACTTTGCTATAATTGATTGCAGCCTTTCATAGAACTGATCTTTATCATCGTCGTTGCTATCATTGGTGGGTGCATAACATTGGATAACATTCATTGTGATCCCTTGCTTCTTTGTTCTGAATGATGCTTTGATTATCCTGGGTCCATGAGATTCCCATCCCACAAGTGCATTTCGTGCTTGTTTGGACAGCATTCCATGTACCTATAAAGAGTGTTGCTCTGGTTGTTAGAAGGTGCATCGGTCTCGTGACTTCCGAAGAATTTCGGCTTTCATCATGAGACGTCATTATTCCTTCAACTCCCAGGGCAGAGTTTAAATGGTTTGGATTATTTTTTCTGGTTAGCGTTTTTTTAGCGAGTTAGCTTTTCTACGGGATGGGGTCGCTAACCCCATGCCCAACCCTCCTCCTTTACCCGGGCTTGGGACCGGCAGTAACTCTAGAAGAGCTACAGGCGGAGTTAACACCCCTCTTATTACATACTATATTCACACAACGATATTACTATTACTATTACGACTGCTATTATCATTGTTATCTCAATTAACAAGAAGGAATTCTCCTATTATTCGTTTTATTCACACGATTTTTGCATTTTCATTTTTGCTTTATTATTTTGACTGACTTTAATCCAAGTCATTTTGACCTTTATTAAATGACCTTTCTAACTAACAAATAACACAATGTATAAGAACTCTCGTCTAAATTAGAGCGAATAGTTTCACCGTATTTGAGCGCCGAGTTGATGTAAGACATTATATAGGAATAATACATATTTGTAAAATCTCAGCGAATGAATTTGTAGTAAATCCAACGTTTCACCTGGCAATCTGGTCCAAGCTTTTTCAAGAAAATAACACAATGTTTCAGTTATTCCTATCGTAACAGATGTAAACGTTCATTATTTTTAACACATAACATTATCAAATTCACTGATTATTATTATTATTATTATTATTATTATTAGCTTTATTCAATATTATATTTTTGGTACAATATAGAATTCTCAGCACAAAGTACTTCAACAAGTTTCCGTTTCTTACCTCTTCATCCTTTCTGACGATAAATATTGGGTGATCGCCGGTTATAAGTTAGCAGCCCAGTCAATGGACATCTGGATAATGTACATTCTTGTCGCTGCATATTGCCAGAAACCACGATATCTCTGAATAAGCCTTCTGTAACCTTTACAGCTAAAGATCTTACACTTTTCAGAAACGCACTTGAATAGGTTGTGCTATTAATAGGCATAATGATGTATTAAAACAAACGAAATCAGATAACTTGTTGAAATATCTAGATGACAGGAACAGGTAGCCCAGATGTTTAAACAGGCCGCCAATACATGCCTTTATCACAATAATTATGAACTTATAATTGTAGAGCCTGATAATGAAGTTATTGCAAAAATGCTTATTCGCTCAAATATTCTTCATTTGTTTTTAATAGACTATGGGGACTTTTAAACTGTTAGAATAATATTTATTGTAAAATATTTATTATATGCCACTTATAATCTGAGTATTAGGGAAATACTATAAAAGTCTAGAGGTTAAAAGTTGGCTTGCAGGACTGGTAGGTCCTGGATTCGGATCCTGATGGCGGGATCGTGAATGCTCACTACTGAGGAGTCCCATACTAGGACGAAACGGCGTTCCAGTGCTTCCAGGTTTTTCATGGTGGTCTAGCTTCAATTAACTCGTGAATTCAACTATTAACTTACTAAAAAATGTGTTTATAGTATCAAAAACTCAATAGATTTTAGATATCAATAAATAAAACATTCAGTTCACTTATATTTGCTTTATGAAACGCTAATTAAGTATGACTTGTCTGTTCAGTTTTATTACAATGATATGAATAACTATAAGAAATGAAAGTTTTTTCCATTAAGTTTGTGTGCTGTCAAACTTTATTTTAGTAAATAAAAACTGTACAAAAGTTTAGTAATAAGATTTCCTTCATTTCATGATTAAATGAAACTTTCATACCTTTTGGATTCACTAACTTTAATGTTACTACTCTTCTGTATGATGTATGTCTGATTTGTTCTTCGAAATTTTGTAGTCGATTATTTTTTGAGTCATTAAAAGGTTATACTAAGCGTCCTTGAATTTGTTTGTATGAATACATAAGGGAATGGTAATGTTTATTATCCACTTCATAATCACTTATATATAAGATATTGTTTACTTTAGAAGATATTATATTTCATTTAACAGTTGAAAAAATTGAATAACTAAAGCGTTTTCTCAAATAAAATAGCTGTTTTCTCAGCATAATTTTAAAGATGTTCATGGGATGATGTGGATAGCTTTTGAAATTGGTACATGTTGACTATTACATGGGTTTACAGAATGATGCACTACAAATATTATTTTAGATAGATAATTTTACCAATTGAACATTATAGCTCATTCATTATTTAACTGTACCAAGATACTCAAACTATTTTGAACTCAATACGTACATCAACATGATGATTAAAAAGTCTTATATTGTTGAATTCATGGAATATACCTCTTACACACAAATGCATCTTGTATGAAATTTAATAGCATAACTACTTAAATCGTAATAAAACCAATTCAGCTTAGTAACACAATAGAATATAAAAATGGTTACTTGATATTCATTACTATATTTTGATATTCGTAGTTTGAATAACTTACATAATGAATAGACATTGAATATACTTATCTAATTTCACGATAAACTAACTATATCGTACGATTGGAATAACAAATAAATCCACATGGTGATATCAAACTTTTGAATCTACTAAACATATTCATGGCTAAATTCAGGTTTATACATACTACTTATTATCCATAAAACAATATCAACTATTTAATAAGTAGTTTGGTAGATACTACACCATGTCACATATATATATATATATATACCCCTACATCTTGTAGTAAGCGTTAACAAACGTAAAATATCAGATCGTTGTGTTTTACTATCTTATTATTAAATACATTTCATCACAATGCATTCACCATCATTCAACTAACCATAACGATGCGTTCTCGATACCATTACCCATAGAAACATGTATTACTCAACAATAAAAGGAACATAAAAGTAGTTTAAAAAATAATCAAAATTTTTAATATTTACGAATAGTGAATAAGAATTATTCTTGTAGTAGATATATATTATTAGTAGTAGTGATAATAGTTAGTCACTTTTTAAAATTATATATATATATATGTATATATCATAATATAGGCATTGGTATATAATCTTTGTAAAGATTAAATTTCATCTACCTTCTTTGCCTTACAATCACAATGATAATGATGTCTTTGTAATGTTTACACAACAGAAATATGTTGATTTATTGTTGTTAATATTTATACTACTAATAATAATAATTATTACTGTGATTTTGCATAAAAATTTCACTGTTTACATAATCTTCTATTTATTCTAACTAACCATATCTCATCACATTAGGTAATCCTCTTGGAGGTTCCGCTTTCAATTTTCTTAATTCTTCATCAATATTTCTTTGAGGTTTTAAATATAAATATGATTCAGACCATGTTGGATAATAGTCAACATCTGGTGCAATAAATTGTCCTCTTGATAATATTGATGAGGATGATGATGGAAGTGCTGAATTTGAAGCAGCTTCTGCAATAGCTGCCTGTTCAGCTAGAACAGCTTCTGATAAAGTTAATGGATTAGGCCAATCAATTGTTTTCAAATTTGTATAATAACATTGAATATCACGTTTACATAATAGAAATATCAAATAGAATAATGATAATGATTTTAAATAGGTAAACATAATTATGAAACCAGTGAATAGTGTATACTTGTTACTAATTATAAGATAAGTAATATACTTGAAGAACCTTCTTCATCGAATATATTTAATATTTATATTTTTTAATTATCATTAATTAATAACACCCACGCATAGTTTTATTCAATTAGTTTATTTTTTCTACTGGTTCATTAAAATTTAATAATAAGCCAATAAAAATTTTTTAAATTTTTTGGGACTCATTTTCAAATTTAAAAAATAACCTAATCATATTAAGTACTTGTAAGTTTTTTCATATTTGAAAGCGTGAGTCACTTGAAGCTCCACCACTAGGGAAAACCTGGAAGCACTGGACGGCCGTTTAGTCCTACTGTGGGACTCCTCAGCAGTGCGCATCCACGACCTCGCCTTGCAAGATTTCGAACCCAGGACCTGCCAGTCTCGCGCCAGAGCACTTAACTGATAGACCACTGAGCCGGCATCCGATGTTGTTTATGTCTAACTCCGACCAATCCATGTATGTTTCTTTAAAAAATATTGAACTAATTACAGATGAGGAAATATCATAAAGTTAAGTAAATACATTTGTATAAGATAATTAATTTAAATCGTAGGCCGATTAAACCAAGATAACCATAGAACACATCAATGGTCATATTGGACTATTGTTTTGTCTTAATCTCATAAATTGGATATGTTAACTGTTAAATAACAAATTATGACGAGACTCTAATTTATGGACAGACCAATCAGAAGCGTTTGTGGGATTTCAAGGTCACGGCGCCAATTCCAGTACCTGATGCTCATGTACGGTCGGTTCACAAAGACAATTTTAGAAAAGACATGACAATTAAGCGGCTACAACAAATGAAGCTACTAAGAAGTTGCTGTATTTGTAATTACGAGTATTAAATGACTTTTAAACCTTGTACAGACTGCCGTGATGTTGACCTTCGATATAATATATGTTGAAGGAAGACGTTTGCTAGAATAGGAACCTTTATCGCTCGATCCAGATTGTGACTAAGGCATATTATAATAATTGCCGCGAACTGTATAATGAAAGCACTAGTAACATTGGCTGCAATAATCGCAGATTTTGCTGAAACTTCGGCTGTTTAGTGGTATGAGTATTGTAGGGACATATCCATAATAAAAATGATATACTTACACAACCGGAGTACATACAAACAATAATGAAGCTATGTGGTCGAGGCTGAGAGAGTTTTTATGACCTTATCATGGCTCCAGAGACCAATTATTATGGAGCCATATGGATGAGTTCCTCTATTTTATGCATTACGATTTTGGAACCTTTGAACCTTTTGCTAACATTGACAAGTTTTTGGACCATATAAAAAAATTGTATCCACTTTAATTATTTGGTTTTGTATAATATATTTTTACCCTATGCTGACTGTTTACTAATTGACCAACATTTCTCAAGGTCACTTATGATTCGTTCAAAGATCGTCCATAAATTATAGTCTCGCTCAAATTATTTGTTAAAATGCCACATCCTAGCTATAGTATCTGAAAGTCTTATGTTGTTTTTTTTAATTGCCAAGGTTATATGTTGTTCAAATTACTTACAAGAATCATACATGGACGAAACTGTTATTTGATTCGTTTTGTACTTCATTAGTTATTTAACATCAATCTGCCAAGTAAACAGGTTTCAAATAGACAGAAGTGTACGAATCTTTTCGTTTTCCTAATTAAGCTGATGATTAACACCAGTGTTTTTGTAACAGTGAGAAATGAATAAATGATGAATGAAATATGTAAGGTAGATCATTTATGTTTTAAATGAAAATTACAAAACAATTTTTATAAATATATTTTGAAGCAAAATAAACAAACGTCCATGTGACTATAAAACAATCATTATTTTACTAATAGAAGCTCTTTTTCAAGTATTCTGGTATTTTTTGTTAGACTGTGTTATTGATGAAATTCGATTGATGAAGTATAAATTGCATGGAATCTTTTACCGTAACATCTAATATATACTGCCTAAACATTTTCAGATTTACATTTTGAAGATGCTACAAGTATTTGGAGTTTGACAACACCTTAACCAGTAACATATTCTACAATCAAAACGTGCCCAACAAACGAAGAGGTTCGAAGATATAATTGATAGGCTATAAGTATATCGAGAAGTTGTTGTCAAACAGCGAATACTTGTGCCATCTTCATGAGTGAGCTAACGTGATCTGGTACACCAACTCGTAAACTGTGAGTCTGGTCCTTTTTGGAACTTTATATGTCATTACTTTACTATACGTTTTATATACTGTGATACGTTTTTGCATTCTTGGATGTTTTTTCATTCGTAGACTACTACATTACCCTCATTCCAGCTAGGGCCTATTAAGACAACTTTTATTGTCTAATCTTCCTCAACAAGTGCAGGCAGTGCTTGTCTAGTTTCAAAACAACCCTGTAGACAAGCTAGCTGCATCTGTTAACCGCATTCTAGAGATCTCAAAATCTTATAATGCCGAGGTTTTTCAAACGATACGAAATAACGTTACGGAATTATGTCATACACTTACACGTGATCTTAGATTTAGTTATGACCGTAAATGGTCACACACCCCGCGAAGAAGCACTTCACGTAGGGGATCTGTCTCTAGACCACGAGAGACCGATAACCCCTACCGGTGCTGTTAACATAACCAGCGAATTCGACCACACGGTAGATTTAGAAATCACCCGACCCATGGGCACCTCCTTTTTATAGGGTCCCTAAAAAGGATAAAAACGATTGGCGTCCAACTGGTGACTATCGGAGATTGAGTGCGAAAACCGTTCCTGATCTTTACTCGTTGCCTTACATTCACGATTTGACAGATACCTTGAAACTTACAACTGTTTTTTTTCGAAAATCGACTTGGTTAAAGCCTCTAACCAAATCCTTACGGCTTTTGACAATATTCCGAAAAAAGCTATCAAAACTCATTTCGGACTCTACTAATTTTTGCGAATACCTTCCGGCCTAAGAAATGCTGCCCGAACTTTCCAAAGGTTCATCGATGATGTTTCTCGAGTCCTCAACTTCGAACATGCGTATGTTGATGACTACTTGATTGCAAGTCAGGACAGAAAATCTCATCACCAGCATCTGGACCTTGTCTTTGAGTGACTGAAAAAGCATGGCATTATTGTGAATATTCAGAAATGTCAAATTCAAACTCATTGTACTTCTTCAAATGAAGCCGACATTCGTTTACACACTCCACTCGAGATCTCTATTTCTGAGGCTTTCATCATAATGGAACAAAGGATTGTCACTTGATACGAATGCAGATACGTCTGCAAACCTCATCGCTCTGAAGCATGGATGCTTGAACTCCTTCAAAAAAGATTCTGGGTGTTACCCCTTAGGTTAGTATTGTGACTAAGCTTAAGTAGATGTTTAAGGAGATGATCAGAAGTTTTAAGGTTACTGTAAGCCATAAGAAGGTCACCTCTAAGACGCCTATGCTCTATCGAGTAAAGATTAAGTGATTGGAGACGCTCTTCATAAGGCTTGAATTTGAGTCCCCGAAATGATTTTGTGGCTCGCCGTTTGATACGTTTTATAGTGTCCTTATCCTTTTGAAGAGAGGAAGGAAATACTATGTTTCCGTACTCTAAATGGGGACCAATAAAACTGTTGGAGATTATATGGAAGGTTCTACCGCCAAACTGACCAAAACTGCGCTTCAAGGTTACCAGTGCAAGGTTTGCTTGAAAAGCGTTTTTGTCACAGTTAGCGTACGACTTCAAGTCGTAGGGTACCAACACTCCTAAATATTTTTCGACTTGGGATACTTCTAGGGAGGAGTTTCCTAAGTTGTAACTATAGTCTGCAACATGTCGCGGATGAACTACTTTACACTTTGAAGTGTTGAAGGTAAGTCCGTTGTCGACTGCCCAACTCTGAAATCGAGTCAGATCCTCCTGAAATGCTAGTATATCCTTTTGGTTACGTATCTCTCTCCAAAGTTTCACATCATCAGCAAAAAGCAATAAGTCAGATGAAACTTGTTGTGGAAGATCGTTAATGTAAATCAAGAAAAAAAAAGAGGTCCTAGTATTGAGCCCCGGGGGACCTTACCAGGACATTCCATCTCCAGAGAGAGTGAAGTTAACCCTGACCTTAAAATGTAGGTTTTCTGGATATAATAATAATATATTTCTGCAATAGCAGGTACACGCCATTTTTACAGGCATGATCTACAATTTACAACATATACTGGTTAACAGTATGCATCCCAAGCGAGGTTGTTTAGTAATTATAATCTATAAACATTGATAGCAGTTCATTCGTTCAGATATAATGTGTTTTCATAAGAATAGTTTCCAAAGAGGCATAGGCGTCCACGTTACATACCAGATCCAATCTCGTTAAAAAGTGTAATAGGGTTTCGGTCGTGCAAAATATTTATGTAATGCAGCTTTTTAAGTTCATTGTTGTTATAAAGTAGGCTTGTGGAGCGCCTGGTTCGAGCTATGACCTTGGAAAAGCGCGTTCGTCGAGCTTGTCCCAGATGTCCGAAGTTACATAGCTTCACCCTCAGAGCAAGATTCTGAAGAAATAAAAAGAGAAACCGAGGAGCGGCAAGGTATTTGGATATGAACGATAACCAATGCTTAACATTTATTAGTGGAACAGATGGAGGTATGATAAATTATTAGATTAAATTGATACTAGCTCATGGTGCAAGAGTGAACTGCGATTAGGGGCTCCAGAGGAGAGAAAGCAGTAATAAAGAACAAGGAGTTGTGATATTTATCAAGGTGGAGTAGGTTCCAATGAAGGAGGGAAGTCAAGGTTGGAGCGTAGGTATAGGAAGCATGTATTCTTTTCAACTCGATCATACTTTATTCGACGATTGGTGTTTGCATATTTGTGGATGAACTTCTCTGGATATACATTTTCACGTAGGCATTTGATGATTAAAGCTATTTCTTCCTCAAGACACTCATTGGAGCAGATTTTGCGTGCGCGGTCGAAAAGGGTTCGTACAATACCCTTTTTGTAACTCATCGGGCAGAAACTGTAGTAATTGAGATACAGTCCACTCCAAGTGTTTTTGTGGTG